CTGGCCCTCCTCACCGCACGTCCTTCACATCCAGACCTCTCGCCGCAACATCGGTGGCCACCAGCACGGCGGTGGGGTCGGCCTTGAAGCGGTCCAGGGCCCGCAGGCGCTGCCGCTGCTGCATGCCTGCGGCGGGGAGCGGGGGGTGGGGCAGGGGGTTCAGACACAGGGGGTGGGGAGGCGCGGCCAGGTGTGCGGCAGTGGCCGGCAGTGACAGAAAGGAACGGCACGGCATTGAGCGGCGATGCACGCTGCACGCTGCCGGCTCGTAACAGCGCAGCAGGCACAGCGTGGCACAGCAGGTGCGGCAGGTGTGGCAGGCACAGCGGGCCCCGTAGGGCACAGCAGGCACAGCGGCGCCTCACCCGCGTGCAGCGGCAGCGCCTTCACTCCCAGCAGCTTCAGGATGGCTCCCAGGCGGCGCACAGAGCTGATGGCGTTCACAAACACGATGGTACGGCCTGCGGTACGGCAGCGGGGAGCGGGGGGGTAGGGAGGAGGGGTCGGAGGGGTGTGTGTGTGTGGTTGCTGCAGCGCGGCGTCGGCTGCTGCCTCCCGGCCTGCGGCCCTCGCGGGTACGCAACCCCGCCTGCACACTACGCGCCCGTCCGCACGCCGGCAGGCCCGTCCCACCTGGGTGCTTGGTGAGCAGGCAGTACAGATACTCGTCCCGCTCGTCCTCCCCGCAGGCCAGGTACGCTTCTTCCACCTGCGGTGCAGGATGCGGCGGCACAGGTTGCCAGGCCAGGAGGGTGAGTGGGATGCCCGCGGCTGGAGCTTCATGCCGGGAAGGCCCACCAGCCACAGCACGGCACCACCAGCAGCAGTACAATGGCCAGTCAGGCTTCCGCCAGGCGCATGGCAGGCAGGAGGGAGGAAAGGAGGCCGGCGGGAAGAAAGCAGGAGGGTCAAACAGGGCAGGCAGGCACAGGTGAGGCCCTGCCGGCCCACCTTGTCTGCCAGCCTGCGCTGCGAGGTGAGGTCGACAATCTTCGGCTTGCCCCTGCAGGGTGGGCAGGCAGGCAGGGGGGTCAGCCAGACAGGGGGGTCACCCAGGCTGTCAACACGCCAGGAGGCCAGCCAGGCAGGCATGCCAGGAGCCAGGCTGGCAACCCAGCGGGACAGGCGCCTGGAGCAACCGCCACACGCAAGCATAGAGGAAGCAAGCCCTTGGCGCGGGCCCCTGCCTTTCCCAAAACAAATTTGGGAAAGGAAAGAATCAATGTTTGTTTTAATGATTCTTCACAAGATACTAACCTGAAGGGGATCTTGTCCATCAGGCTGTCCAGGTCGCTGCTGCCGCTGGCGCCGCCGCCGCCCTTGCGCAGGCGCCTGCGCAGGCTGGCCGGCAGCGTGAGGGTGGCGGAGAAGACAAAGGTCTGCAAGCGCGCCTGCTGCTGCCGCCGCTGCAGCTGCTCCTGCTGCTTCTGCTCTGCCCTGTCTATGTCCTCCTCTCCTTCCTGCTGCTCCTCCTGCTCCTGCTCCTCCTCCTCCTCCTCCTGGCTGCCCTCGCCCTCGCCCTCGCTGTCCTCCCCCTCCTCCTCCGATCCCAGCTCCGCCTCCCCTTCCTCCTCCTCTGCCTCCTCCTCTGGCTCCCCGTCCGGCTCCCCAGCCTCCGGTACCGCCAGCTGCTGGTGCACCGGTATGGCCCCCAGGATGCTGCTCAGCTCGCCGTAGTGCCCCTGCTGCACCATCCGGTCTGCAGGCGTGGAGCGGGGTGCGCATGCATGCTTGTGACGTGATGCGGTGTGATCGCTGGGGACTAAGTGGCAGCAGGAAGGAGCGCAGGACGGCAGCGATGCAGGCGGGCGATCAGGGCTGGCGGCCCCTGGCAGGGGCCCGGACGGCAGCGCGGCCAGACGGGTGACAGCGCCACTGCTCCAGGGCTCGGCCTGCGGCCGGGGCTTCCTGCCCTGCCCGCACCTGCTTCGTCGATGACCAGGAAGGAGAGGCGGGAGAGGTGGGTGAGGTGGGCGTGGCCCGCCCTCATCAGGTCCAACAGCCGGCCAGGGGTGGCCACCACCACCTGCGCCACGGCAGCGGCAGCAGCAGCGGCAGCACGAATTCAGCATACCATGCAAGCAGCAGCATGCAAGCAGCAGGATGCCAGCAGCTGCGGCGCGTACGCAGCAGCATGGAAACGGGAGGGGCACTCTGGCTGTTCCGGCACGCCCGGCCCGGCCTGGTTGCCCCGCCCGGCCCCGCCGGCTGGCTGCCGGCGGCGCCGCCAGCCAGGCAACCAAGCAGCCGTTGTGCAACAGCACACAGCAGCTATGAGCGCATGCGCCTCGCGGTGTTGCAACACACAGCAGCTACCAGAGCGGGGGTGCAACCGGTCTGCCAGCACACAGCGCCCTCCCACCTCTGGGTGCTTGGCCAGCAGCCGCTCCTGCTTGAGGGCGCTGATGCCGCCCACGATGGGAACCACCCAGATGCCGCAGCCCTTACCCACCGCCTGCGGCAGGGGGCCGCATGGGCCGGGGGAGGGGAAGGGGTGGAAAGGACAGCAGAGCGCAGGGGCCAGGGAGTGGGGCAGGCACACGGCGTGCCGCGGCCCGGGGCGGCGCCTGCGCAGCGGTGCCTGCACTCGCATTCAAGCAGCAACCGCAGCAGCCAGAGCCAGGCTGGCTGGCGGCCCAGGCGCTGCCACACACCTGCAAGTGCTCGCACACTTGCAGTGCCAGCTCGCGCGTGGGAGCCAGGATGAGCGCCCGCAGCGGCGACATCGCCTGAGGCCGCTCATCGCCCTGCTGCTGCTCTTCCCCCTGCTGCTGCGCCTGCTGCGCCTGCTGGCGGTCTTGCAGCAGGCGCTGCATGATGGGCAGCCCAAAGGCCAGCGTCTTGCCGGAGCCGGTCTGCGCGGCGCCGATGACGTCGCGCCGGTCGCGGATGGCGGCGGGCAGGCACTCGGCCTGCACGTGGGTGGGGGCCTCAAACCCCAGCCTGCCGAGGGCCGCCTCAATGGCTGGGTGCAGCTCCAGCCCGCGCCAGGCTGATGTGTCCGCCAGCGGCCGCGCCGCGGCCGCCGCCGCTGCCGCCGCCGCCGCGCATTCCGCCGCCGCCGCGCGCTTGGCGGCCTTGACCTGCTTGCGCATGGCGGCGGCGGCGGCACGCTTCTCCGCCCGCGCCTCCTGCTTCTGCCGCTTCTTCAGCTGCCGGTTCTCAGCCTGCAGCGCCGCCACCTGCCCCTTGAGCTTATCCAAGGACTCCCCACCCTCCTCCGCAGCAGCGGGCCCAGCAGCAGCCTGCTCCCGCTCAGCCTCCTCCGCCGCCTCGGGCTCCTTGCGCTTCTGCCCAAGCTGCTTCTTCTTCTTCTTCTTTGCCGGCGGCGGCTCGGCGGCAGCAGGCTCCTCGCCATCGCCGGAGGCCGCCGACGCTCCGCCAGGGATCATGAAATCTCCTGCAGCCGGGCAGAAGGACAGGTGGGCACCCAATGCTTTGCACGGAGCAGCGCCTGGCAGCGGCACCAGCCGGCTGCCGCCACTGCCGCCTTCCTGCCCTGCCGGCAGGGTCGCACCTATGGCGCTGGCGTCCAGCTCCTCCAGCCCGCAGAAACCAAACTCGTCCGCTCCCAGCAGGAGATCGTCTCCCACTTCGACCTGCTTCCAGCCTGAAACGCCATCCCAAAAGTCCTTGGCACCACCACCTCCTTTGCCAGCCTTCTTTCCCATGTCGGCTTGCGGTGCTGCCCTTCACTGCCGCTCAAGCGCTACTGCGCCTTGCGCATGCAAGCATGCAAGGGGTCAAGGGCATGCACAGGAGCTCGGGTGCTCCCTGCAGTTTGTTTGAATATGCGTAAAGGGGCTGGATCGGCCTAATTCCACATGCTGACGTGCACTGCGCCCAGCTGGCGCTCTTCGCAGACTCTCTACCACCGCTTGCACGGTCCATTGCGATCCCCACATGCCGATCACTCGACACCACAACTCTATCTGATCGCCATCATGCCGCTGGTGGCAGCGGCAGTGCAACCGGTTTCTCCCTGCTGCGCTTGGCGCCCAGCACCGGCCCCTGCCCACGGCATCGCACATCAGAAGCAGCTGCAATGCCCGGGCGGCTGCAAGGCCGGCCGCACGAGGATGCGCAGTGCGGCGCCGCGGCAAGAGGCGGCAGCGGCAGGGTTGTCACGCCGGGAGGCAGCCGCACTGCTCCACTCCCTGCTGCTGACGCCCCTGCTACCTGGCAGAGTATCGGCAGCAGTGACGCTGGAGGATGTCACGCCCCCGGTGGCCCCCGCCCAGCCCCTCAGCGCCAGGTGAGCTCCGCAGCCTGGGCGCTGGAAGCTGGAGCATCGCACAAGCGTGCTCATGCACACCTGTGCAGGGTGGCTTGCGTTGATCCGGTCCCAAGTGGAGTTGCAACCTGTACCTTCGCACCAGCCACACCGCCCACTCCTGCATCGCTCCCTCCCTCCCTCTCTCCCCGCCGTCGCACCACCACTTCACAGGCGGCGCCTGCACCTGCTCCACGCCTGCCGACACGCTGCACGCATCCCGGTGCTGTGCCGTGTGCTGCAGGGAGGCGCAGGTGGCCGACATCTACGACCGCACAGCGCCGGGCGTGGTCAACGTGTTTGACGTCACGCTGCGCACGACGGGCGTGGGCGGGCCGCAGGCGGTGGAACAGCCAGAGGGCAACGGCACCGGCTTTGTATGGGACACTGGTGAGTCCGCTGCCTTGCGGGGGCCGGGTGGGGCACAGGTAAGAGTGAGAAGGCAAGCGCTGCGATGCCTGGACGCTCGTCGATGCGCCTGAGCGGCAGCGACAGGCCCCGGTGTGGCTGCACGCATCAGGCAATGAAATCCCTGCTGCCGCGCCTCTGCTGCTTTTCTTTATTTTGAGCTTCCACCTGCCCCGCACCTTGGCTGCAGAGGGGCACATAGTCACGAACTACCACGTCCTGGCCAGCGTGCTGGGCGGCGCGGCGGGCAAGGTGCTGTCCGGCGCCAAGGTGGCGCGCGTGCTGCTGCTGGCGCCTGACGGCACCCAGCAAGCCTATGACGGCTTCCTGGCGGGTGAGGCGGTACCGGGGCGCGGCCTTGCCTGCAGTACCGCCGCCGGCGGCACTGGGGAGCTCGCAGCGCGCCAGGCCAGGCGGGCAGGCCGGCAGGGGCTGCGCTCCTGCTGCTGCTCCTGCTGCTGCATGAGTCGTGCAGTCCGTGCCGCAGTGCGGAGCGGTCGCCACTCACCACCTCCCTCCACACACACACACACACACACACGCGCACAAGCGCGCGCGCAGCACAGGCACCCCACACTCGCAACACCCCCTGCTTGCCAAGCAGGCGCCGACAAGGCTCGTGACCTTGCCGTGCTGAAGGTGTCCGCCCCCGCCTCCCTGCTGCGCCCGCTGCCTTTGGGCGACTCCTCCTCTGTGCGGGTGGGGCAGGGCTGCTTGGCCATCGGAAACCCGTTTGGGTTTGAACGCACGCTGACGACGGGCGTGGTCAGCGCCCTGGGTCGCGGCTTCCAGGCAAGCGCCCGCCGCTTGCGCGCGCCTCCGCTGCCTCCGCCGCGGCTTCGCAGTGGGGCTCGCAGGCCGCCTTTGATGCATACATAGTCGCATGCAGCTTGCTCGTGCGCAGCGAGTTGCTTGGCAACTACAGCCGCCACCGCATGGCTGCCGCTGCTCACCCGGCGCTGCGCTGGGCCCCGCCGCGCTGCCAGTAGAGCCAGACGGGCAGCACCATTGGCGGCGGCATCCAGACTGACGCGGCGGTCAACCCCGGCAACAGCGGCGGCCCGCTGCTGGACTTGTCGGGGGCGGTGATCGGGGTCAACACAGCCATCTTTACCAACACAGGTGAGCTGGAACGACTCACTGCAAGTAGTGAGGTGTGAAAGGAAAGTCACTACTGTGTTGCTGCTGCGAATGTTTACTGGCAAGCCGTTTTGTCGGCCGTCTCGCTGCGAGGCTGGCGCGCTCCCACCGGCCCGCTGCCCGCCCGCCGCTGGTGCCCGCTTGCCTCCCTCGCCACCACCCCCTTCCTTCTGGGGAGCGCAGGCACGTCTGCCGGCCTGGGCTTTGCCATCCCCAGCAACACGGTGCGGCGGGTGGTGCCGCAGCTCATCAGCCTGGGCGCAGTGCAGCGGGCCTCCCTGGGCTTCCAGCCGGCGCCCGACCCCGTGGCGCGAGCCCTCAAGGTGTCGGAGGGCGTGATGATCCAGACGGCAGACCCCAAGGGCGCCGCCGCGCAGGCGGGGCTGCTGCCCACGCGGCGCGGGCTGGGCGGCATCGTGGCAGGTGGGCGACCCCCTCCCCGCATGCTCTGCCGGGCTACGCGGTGCTTTCCCTGCCTCTCCTCCAGCTGCTGCCTGCGGGGCAGGCTTGTCTCCCTCTCTCCTTGCATGCCATGGCTTCCTTTCTCTCTCTCTGCGTCTGATCAGCTCAGACCCCAGCCTGCGCCCACCCGCCCGCGCAGGCGACGTGATTGTGGCGGTGGACGGCCAGCCGGTGCGCAACCTGTTTGACCTCACCTCCCTGCTGGACGAGCGGGCAGTGGGGGATGTGGTGGAGGTGCGGGCGCTGCGAGGCGTGGGCCAGAGCGCGGCGCCGGAGGCGGTGGTGGTGAGCGCCACGCTCGAGGCGGAGCAGCAGTGAGGCTTGTGGGGGCGGGCAGGAAGATGGGGAGCGGCCCGGCATTTGCGTCCACTGTGCGAGTGCTGGAGTGTCGCTGCCATCTGATTTGTGATCATCTTAAGCTGCGACCAGCTCTGCCCCGTGTGATCGCCCAGCCGCGACCAGCCGCCACGGCCGCCGCCGCCGCGCTGGCGCGGCGCCGCACAGGCGCTGCTTTCCTGTCGCTTGCCTGCTCGCTACAGCGGGATAGTGGTACAAGGGCAGCAGCCACAGCTGTGCCATCAGATGCCAAATATGAAAGGGGGGAGAATACACTGAGCAATGCTGCAGCAAACGGATACACAGCCTCCTTCACAGGGCTGCCGCCCCCACCAGCTGTTCCACCTCAGCCGCCTCCACAGGCACGTCTGCCGACAGCACCTCGTGGCCGGCAGCTGCACGCAGCAGCAGGGTGCAGCAGGGAGAGCGGATGGCACGCGTGGCCCGCAGCACAGGCACAACCTGCTCCAGGAGGCACCTGGTCCGGCTGGGGCCCCCGGGCCGGCAGCGGCCCCAGTGTGCACAGGCAAGGGGGGCCACCTGCCGGTACTCCCCACCCAACGCCCAAGGCCCACCCACAGCATGCACGGCACCCGCAGTACCATAGGCCCACCCACCCGTGACAGCAACATCATCCTCTATCCGCACGCCGATGCCGCGGTACCGCCCAAACGCCTCGTCATCGGGGATGTACAGCCCCGGCTCGATGGTCAGCACCACGCCTGTGCCAGTACCGCAGCAGTACCGCAGGCACGTAGCGGCGCCGATTTAGCCGACGGCAGGCAGGCAAGCACGCAGCGCCTGAGTGCGGCAGCATTTATCTGTGATGCAAGCACAGCGAAGGCATTCGGAGGCGCCATCCACCAAAGCCACGGGGGCCATGGCAGGCCAGCACCCGCCCACTACGTGACATGCACGCTGTGCTGTGCTGTGCTGACCTGGCTCCAGCGGCCGGTCGTGGCTCATCGTGCTGCTGTCGTGCGTGTCCAGCCCCAGCCAGTGCCCCACTGCGCAGGTAGGCAGGCAGGGTGGAAGGCAGGCGGCGATATAAAGCCCGGAATCCAACGCAGGCAGCAGGACGCAAGGAATAAACACATACGCAGCTGCACCCTGCCGCTATGCCACAGTGTCCCACCCCCTCAGCCGCACGACTGGCTCAGCAAGAGCACCGAACTGGCTGCCCCGTCACCTGAGTGTGGGTAGAAGCGGCGGTAGCTGCCCTGCATGATGTCGCCCGCGGCCTGCCCCGGCAACAGGCCCAGCTGCAGCAGCACAGCAGGCAGGCAGGTGCAAAGCACAGAATCATTGATCAGTGCTTGAGGATGTGCTGGGGGCACACGCAGGAAAATGGATGGGGCCTTAGGGTGCGCCGAGAGCGCTTCATGCCAGAGCATGCTGCTGTGCCAGCAAGCGGGCAAGCGGTCGCACACACACCCAGGCAGCACTCCACCTGCGCTATCGCCTCTGCCAGCAGGCGAACAGAGATGTGGTGCAGCTGGCGCAGGGTGGCCCCTGGCTGACAGGCCTCCAGGCAGGCGCGGTGCACCTCCAGCACAGCATCGTACACAGCACGCTGCGCGCCGCTGCAAGCCACACCAGCAGCAGCGGCAGCGTGAGCAGTCGACAGCATAAGATGGTTTCAGCCTAGGCAGGGCCGCTGTAGGGGCGAGAGGTGCAGGAGGGGCGGCGCCTGCCCCTTCGCGATTGTTTTACCGCGAGCCCGGTCCCTGCATGCAGACCCAGCGCAGCCCAGGGAAGCGCACCTGTACTTGCCGCCGGTAGGCCAGGTGCGGGTGACGTCGCTGCAGTACCCATGGTACTCGCAGCCACCATCCAGCAGTACCATTTGGTCCCCCGGTACCGACTGCGGGCAGGCATGGAGGTGGCAAGCGCGAGCCAGGCCTTAACAGGAAGCAGGTGCAGCAGCAGGTACGGTCATGCGCGTCAGGCTCCAGCCCGACAAGGTGCATGGCAGGCAGCGGTGCCTTCACCAGCTGCCCGGCTCGCGGCAGCCGCAAGCTGCAAGGTGTTGCAGCCGCACACCTTGTCGTTCCGGGAGTAGTGGATGGTGCAGGCGTCGGGGCCGCCGGCGACCACCGGAGGGTATGCCATGCGCTGCGCTCCGCCCGCTTTGCACCCGTGCTCAAACACCACCGCCAGCTGGTGCTCGTGCACGCCTGGCTGGGAGCGCTGTATGCAGCCCGACATGGCCGCCGCCGCCAGCTGGGCAGAGTGTTGCATCAGCGCCAGCTCAGCGGGCGACTTGCGCCACCTGCGGGCGGCGGCGGCGGTGCGAGCAGTGTGAGGGGTGTCAGGGGCCAGCCTGGGACGATGTGCACCGTGCCTGCGTGCCGTGGCAGTGGCAGTTTGCCACTGGCAGCAGCGCCAGATCTTCAAAGTTTCCACCCCCATTCCACACCACAGCACAGACACAATCACACACACACAAGCCACCTGCAGCCACCTCTTTCTTCTCTGGGGTGGCCCGGGCCCGCACCTGAGCTTGTGCATGAGCGGCCGCAGCGGCTGCACGCGCTGCTGCGCGGTGGCCTCCTGGAACGCGGGCAGCTGCCGCACGGCGCAGCTTTCTTTAGCCTCTGCATCGTACAGCACAGCAGAGGCGTCGCCCAGCAGGCTGCCCAGCTTGGACGGCAGCTGCAGGGGTCATGGGGCAGCGCAGGAGCGGTCAGATGAGGAAGCAGGGTGGCGGCAGGTGCCGTGGGTGTTGCTGGGGCAGGGATGATACTTCCTAGGCATAACTGCTGCTCTGCTGTGGTGCACGCTGCAAAGCGGCAAAGCACGGACCAGCCCAGCACAACACAACCCAGCCCAGCCCAGCGCTAGCGCCAGCGCCCGCCGCGTGCCTGGGAGATGGGGTGCGCCTCGTGGGCGCCAAACACCTCCGCCGCCGCCTCGGGGCCCAGCCGCGCGCCGTCCCACTGCTCCCGCCACGCATCGGGATCCGCCACAAACAGGGTGAAGCGGCGGCTGGAGTCCACGGCTGCCAAGGCATAGGGCTGGGTGATGCCTGTGAGGTACAAAAAGTCGGCGCTCTGGCGGTACGGGTACGGGATCACGCCTGCAGGCGCAGGGGCCAGGTGCCTGGTCCGGGGCATGGTGCGGGAGGCGCTGGGGCACCTGGGCAGTGGCTCGATTGTTTTGCTGCTGCTGCTGCTGCCGCTGTACTGGTGGCTGGTTTCTGGCAGCCGTGTACCCAGCTGGCACACGTTAAATGAAGCTTCAGCAGGCCCCTATCACGCACCTGCCATATACACCAGCGGGGCGGCCGGCAGCACCGCCACCGCGCCTGGCGGCAGCATGCCCGCCAGCCGGTCCCTCCGCGACGCAAACTCTGCAGCCGACACGCCCGGCTGCAGCTCCCCGGGCTGCAGCAGGCCTGGGTGCGTGAGCGGAGTGGGCTGCCCCGCCAGCGCCGCTGCCCGCGCCGCGCCGCCGCCCTGCAAGATGCGCTGCGCGGCGCGGCGCAGGGGCCCCGGGTTGGCGGCCATGCTGCTCCTGAAGCCGCTACTTGCCGCTCAGGTCCAGCTCTCGAGAGCCGGGCTGGAGCTGGGGCTCCTTGGGATGCTCGGCTGGAGGAGTGAGCAATTTCCACAGCGAGAGGGCGGTGAGTGGGATCGTGATAAAGCCAGCCAGGAAGGTAACGCGAGTTCCGCGCTTTGTCCTGATGGAAACCGGGCCCAGCAAGCCCCACATAGGCGGGCAGATGGGGGATGCAATCAACAAGATGAGGACAAGTGAGCCAGGCTCGAGGTCTCGCTTTGTGGGCACCTTACTGTGGCCACAATGCACAACCCATTGTGAGTGCTGGGGGGTGGGGTATGAGAGCCGCAAGCGGGCATTCATGCATCTGGCCACCTGGGCCTTACTGGGGCCTGGGTGGAAGGGGCCGTGATGCTTGATGTGGTCGCCAGGTGGCTCCCAGCTGGCCCCTGAACCCTGTCCGAGTTCGCTCTGGCAGCCACATTGCCGTCTAGTTGTAGCAGCCTTCGCTTCGGGCAGCCAGCGCCAGCGCCTCCGGCTGCCGCAGGGTGGGAACCCTCAAGTGCACGTCCCAGCCCGTCACGGAGCAGCTGGGGACTCGCTGAACAGACATCCAGACGCCAGTTAACAGCCATGGCTGAGCCCGTGGCGTATATCAACGGCAAGCGCCATGTGCTGCCCGCGGGACGCGCGGACCAGACCCTGCTGAGCTATCTCCGAGGTAGATTGTGTCCCGGGTGGACCCTGCAAGCAGCCGGGGCCCGCCGGATGCTGGGGGAGCCCGCCACTGCGTTTAGTCCCACCCGCTAGGGCTTCCTGCCGCCCCGCCTGCCGCCGTTGGAGCACCCACATCCTGCGGAGCTCTCTCCCCTCCCGTGGCGCCCGCCCCGCAGACTCAGGCTTCACGGGCTGCAAGCTGGGCTGCGGCGAGGGCGGCTGCGGTGCGTGCACCGTGCTGGTGTCCAGCGCCGAGGCGGACGGCAGGCTGCACCACCGCTCAATCAACGCCTGCCTCTGCCCCCTCTATGCAATTGAGGGGATGCACGTGGTGACGGTGGAAGGGGTGGGCAACACCCGCGACGGCATGCACCCCGTGCAAGAGCGGCTGTCCAAGGCGCACGGCTCGCAGTGCGGCTTCTGCACCCCCGGCTTTGTCATGTCCATGGTGGCGCTGCTGCGGGCCAAGGCGCCCGAGGCCCCCACAGAGGAGGAGATCGAGGAGAACCTGGCGGGCAACCTCTGGTGCGCACAGGGACACGCCGGCTGCGGCCTTGGCGCGCCGCAGCGGGCGTTGGGGGGCGCAGCGGGCAGCCTGCTGGGTTCCGCCGGCGGTTCTTGGCATGGAGGCAGCGTGGAAAAGGTCGCGTCCCGTGCGTGCTGGCAGCGTGCTCAAGGGCCTCCCTGCCTCGCCCACATGCTGCCCCTGACCCTGCTGGCTGCCCACACCACCCGGCTCGACGCGCTGCCGCTGTTCCCGCCCCTGTGCTGCCGCCCCGCAGCCGCTGCACCGGCTACCGCCCCATCCTCGACGCCTTCAAGGCCTTTGCCAAGGTGGACGCCGCAGCATACACGGAGGAGGCGATCGCCGCCAGCAAGGCCAACGGCCATGCCGCCAACGGCGCCAACGGCGCTGCCAACGGCAAGAACGGCAAGAACGGCAACGGCCGCGTGTGCCCCTCCACGGGCCAGCCCTGCGACTGCGGGGAGAGCGACGGCAACGGCGCAATCGTGTCGGCCAGCAAGCACAAGGAGGAGGCCTGTGGCCCGCTGACACACATCCGCCCTGCAGGTGCGTATGACGCAGCCAGGGCGCCCGCCCTGCCCGCGGCTGCTGCGCGGCTGGCTGGCCTGCACCGCGGCTGGGCTGCTGCCGTCAGCGTGCCAGCCTCTGCCTCCCAGCACCTCCTCCCCTCCGCTCTCTCTGCTGCCTGCCCAGCTATCCATCTTGCCTCCCTGCCCGCTCACCTCTCCTGCACTCTGCCTCGCCCTCCCTTTCCTCGCCCCGCAGTGGAGCCCATCTTCCCGCCCGAGCTGCGCAAGCGGGCTGCGGCCGAGCTGGCGCTGCCCGGGGAGCGGTGCGCGTGGTACCGCCCCGTGACGTTGTCCCGCCTGCTGGAGCTGAAGAAGCAGTACAACGACGCCAAGCTGGTGGTGGGCAACACAGGTGGGCGGGGCTGTGAGGAAAGCAGGCAGGGGCGGGTGGTGGGCAGCGCAGGTGGTGCACGGCTGGAGCGAGCCGCCTCATTTTTTCGGCCACGCCCAGGTGGGCTGCTCAGCTGCTGCACCGCGGCTGCCAACACCTGCGCCGCATCGCGCTGCACGCCATGCAGAGGTGGGCATCGAGATGAAGTTCAAGAGCCTCAAGTACCCGGTACTGATCGGGGCCACCCATGTGGAGGAGCTGAATGCCTTTGAGGTGCGCCTTCCCGCTCGGCTGCTGCCCGCAGCCTTTCCACCTGCAGCTGGGCTGTGATGGGGATGGGGCTGAAGCCGCGCCACTCTGAAGTTTTTTTTCATTGTTTGTTTCTTTTTGTTTCACCAGTTACTCGCGCTGCTGCGCCAAACCAAGCCAGCCAGCCGAGCCGGGCCGAGGCAAGGTTGCCCACCACCCCGCCCCCTGCTTTCCTTTCACTGTTTATTTCTTGGCTTCCTCGCAGGTGGACGAGGGCGGCGTGACCATCGGCGCCTCGGTCACCCTCACCCGCATCATGGAAAGCTTCAAGGAGCTGATTGCGGTGCAGCCGGCCTACAAGGTGAGGCCGGGGCAGGGGCCAGGAGATGGGGCAGGGTCCGGCTGTATTGTGTATTGTTGGTTAGGGACGGCCCTGCGGGTGCAGGGGCCAGCCTGCCAGCCACCAGGCACGTGCCCGCTGGCACATTGAAGGCAGAGGGGATCTCTTCTCTGCAAGCCGGCCGATGCAGTGCTCATCCATCCTGCTCCCTGCCTCCCTCCCCGCCATCCTCCTCTGCCCGCAGACCTCCACGCTGCGGGCGGTAGTGGAGCAGCTGCGCTGGTTTGCGGGGCCGCCCATCCGCAACGCCTCGGGCATCGGCGGCAACATCTGCACCGCCTCTCCCATCTCGGGTGCGCCCGCCTGCCTGCCATCTGCCTGCCTGCCAGGGCAGCGTCACTGCCTGCCTGCCTGGGCTTCCTGGCCTTGCACTCTGCCTGCCCTGCCCTCCCTGTCATGTGTGCATCAGCTGCCCGCTGTGTTACCGCTGGACGTGTGCGTGCTTGCCCCGCCAGAGCAACCTCACACACCCACACCCACACCTGCTCCCTTACCCACGCTGTCCTCATCGCCCAAACCATATGCTCGCAGACCTCAACCCGGTGTGGATGGCGGCGGGCGCCACCTTCACTCTGGCGGGTGCGGGCACGGGGGAGCGCACGGTACTTGCCAAGGACTTCTTCCTGGCGTACCGCAAGGTGGACATGGCGCCGCACGAGATACTGGTCAAGGTGGGCGGACGCACGGGATACCGGCCCTCACACTCATGTCTTGGCACACTGGCGTGAGCCCCTCTGTCCATCTGCCTGCCTATCTCTTGGTGCCTGCCCCTGCGCCTGTGTTGCCACCCCCACCCGCCCCACAACCCACACGGTTTGCGCACCCACGCCGCCGCAAGCTGCCAGCACCTGCCCCACCATCCAACACACAGCACATGTGTACTGCCCCCCGCTGCAGCTGTATGTGCCCTTCAACCGGCAGTACGAGTATGTCAAGGAGTTCAAGCAGGCGCACCGCCGCGATGATGACATCGCCATCGTCAACGCCTGCGTGCGCCTGGCCATGGAGGCGCGCGGCGGGGGCTGGGTGGTGGGAGAGGCCGCCATCGCCTACGGAGGCGTGGCGCCGCTCACCATCATGGCGCCCAAGGTGCGGCGTGGGGCGGTGGTGGCGGGCGGTGTGGGTGGGATGGTGGTGGTGCTGCATTTGGGGGTGGTGTTGTGGCGGCGGTGTGATGTGTGGTGTATGGCACGCATGCTGGGGCCCCATGCGTGGGAGGTTGGGAGGTGCAGCCCCGCATCTGCCGGCACATCCCGGCCCAGCCTGACTCGGCCTGGCTGACAGCCACCACGCCTCTGGGCCTGCCTGCCTGCCCCCGCGCCGCTCTTTCCTGCAGACCATGGCCGCCCTGACCGGCAAGCCCATCGACGGCGCCGCTCTGGAGGCGGCGCTGGCGGCGGTGCAGGAGGATGTGAAGATGGCGCCCAACGCGCCCGGTGCGGGCAGCCGCCGCTGTGTGTCGTCCTTTCTGTGCTTGCCGCATGTGCAACCCCTTGGCCGGCTGGCCGGCTGGCAGGCCGGCTGGCCTGCGTTTGGAGGGCGCGGCGCCTGCCCCTGCAGCTGCTCGCCTGCATCGCGCCGCGCCTCTTGACCTTCTCTCGCGGCCTTCGTCATGTTTTCGTGGCCACAACACACACACACACACACACACCGCCCCTCCCTGCTGCAGGCGGCATGGTGGAGTTCCGCCGCTCCCTGGCCGCCTCCTTCCTGTTCAAAGGCCTGCTGTTTGTGGCGCAGCAGCTGGAGGCCGAGGTTCCCGCCTTCACCTCGCCCTTCCCAGAAAACTACCGCTCAGGCAAGCGGCGGCCATGCCCCGCCGGTTTCCAGGGCCGATGCGTTGTTGCGTTATGCACGCTTCCCATCCAGCACTGTTCCCGGGCGCCTGTGGCTACCTGCCCTGCTGCAAGCGCTGGCCTGCCGGCCGGCCGGCCTGCGAGGCGCTGACTCAGCTCCCCCACCTGGCTCCCTCTTGTCGGGCTCCCCACTTCCACTGCTTGCAGCGGTGAAGCCTTATGAGCGGCCCGCCTCTCACGGCCTGCAGTACTACTCTGCAGTACCAGGGGAGGACGTGGTGGGCCAGCCGTACCGCCACCAGGCAGCCGACGAGCAGGTGCCGCGCCGCGCTGCGCATGCTGTGCTGTGCATGGAGAGGGTTCGCCTGCCTGCCCGCTCTTGCTCCCACCTCATCCGCCTCGCCTCGCCCGTCGCCCGCCTGCCCCTGCTGTCCCGCCTGCCCGCAGGTCTGCGGTACTGCCCAGTACGTGGACGACATCAAGCTTCCCGCCGACGCCCTCTTCGCCGCCATTGTCGCCTCCACCAAGCCCCACGCCAAGATTGTGAAGCTGGACACGACCGCCGCCGCCGCCATGCCCGGCGTGCACGGCATCTTCACCGCCAAGGATGTGCCTGGTGGCAACGACATTGGGCCAGTCATCGAAGACGAGGAGCTGTTTGCCACGGTGGGTGGCGCGGGGCTGGTGCTCGGGGGTGGCCTGCCTGGAGCTCAGCAGCGGGTCGGATCGCCGCCGCCGCGGCTTCATCGGGCGCATGCCGTGCCGTCTTGCGCTTTTGACTGAGCAACACCTCGCCGTACCTTCTCTTGCTGTAGCTTCTCCCAAGCAACTCACTGAGCCCCTGGCTCGCTCCGCCTGTACCTGCAGGACAAGGTGGTGGTGGTGGGGCAGCCGATCGCCGTGGTGGCGGCCGAGACAGAGCGGCAGGCGCGGGAGGCGGCCAAGGCGGTGGTGGTTGAGTACGAAGACCTGACCCCTGTCATGGATATCGAGGACGCGATTGCGGGTGAGCCGCGTGTTTGGTCGCCAGGGGGGTGCGGTGCGGTGTGGTGTGGTGTGGTGTGGAGGCAGGTGTACGAGGTGGAGGGAGCGAGGGCAGGAGGAGGCGAACGTTGTTTGTTGTTCTTGGGGGAGGAAGTACACAGCTTGGCAGGGCCTGGGCAGCCCAGCCCGCCCATCCCCCAACAGCCTCACTGCCCAGCACACAGCAGCGCCCCTTGAACCCGCGCATGCCCCCCCTCTCCCCTGTCTGCAGCCAAGAGCTTCCTCATGCCCTTCAGCCACTCGTTGGCCAGCGGCGACGTGGAGGCGTTCTTCGGGAGCGGGGAGGCGGAGATGGTGCTGGAGGGAGAGGCCAAGATGGGAGGGCAGGTGGGCCGGCGGCGTTGGAGGAAACGGCTGGCTCCGTGATGCATGCGGGGGGCCCTTGTCCCGACACGGCGGCCCCGCCGGGGCCTGTTGATCCCTCCGGCCCGGCCTCCCCCTCCCTCATTCCCCCGTCCCCCCCCACCCCAAAGCCCGGGGCCCCCACTCACCCATGCCACCTCCGGTTCCGATCCAGCACCCAGACCACCCCCCCCCCTCCAACAGTAAGCCCCTCCCCCCCACCCCTGCCCTCCCCCCCCCACACACACACACACGTACCCCGCAGGAGCACTTTTATCTGGAGCCCATGGCCTCGATTGTCATCCCCGCAGAAAACGACGAGTTCCTCTCCTTCTCCTCCACCCAGGTGTGTGTGGTGGCGGGGGCAAGGCCTGGGCAGTGGCAAGGGGCTTGACTTTGAAGTGGTGGGTGTGTATATGGTGGTTGGTATGTAGTGGTGGTGGCATGGCTGTGTGGGAGCTCCGGGCTATCGGGTGGCGCTGCACGGCGGCATGAGGGTGGTGGAGGCTGAGCCTGTACCATCGGTACCACCTGCCCGTACCGCAGTGCCCCGACGCCCACCAGAAGTACCTGGCCCATGTACTGGATGTACCGCTGCACAAGGTGGTGGTGCGCACCAAGCGCCTGGGTGAGTATGGGTTGGTGGTGGGTGGTGGCAGCTGGGTGGCAGCTGGGCTGGCTGCCCAGGTGCCTGCCAAAGGCCACACCCGCCACCTGAGGCTGCGCCGACCCTGCCTTCCTCTGCTCCAATCTCAGCCCGCCGCTGCCTGCCTGCGCCCGCTCCCGGCCCCTCCCGCAGGCGGCGGATTCGGCGGCAAGGAGTCGCGCTCCGCCTTCCTCAACGTCGCCGCCGCAGTGCCCGCATATCACCTTCGCAAGCCCGTCAGGCAAGCCCCGCCTCCCGCTCGCCTGCGCCGCAACGTCAGAACAAGCCTTGCGTTCGTTCCTGCACGGAATACGCTACACTGCCCGTGGCTTGGCCGCCAAAGGAATGCAGGCAGTGCTCTCCTGCGCCACCTGCCCCCTGCACAGCTGCTGGTCCCATGCCGCCCCTCTCTGCCCTTCCCACAGCTGCTTCCCGTCCCCTCGCTGCCCTCCTCTCCTTGCAGGCTGGTGCTGGACCGTGACGAGGACATGCAGATCACGGGCACCCGCCACCCCTTCATGGGCCGCTACAAGGTGGGCCCTTCTCTATTGTTGTTTTCGCTATTAAGACAATCCTTTTCCACAGGGAGCGCGGCAAGATTGCGTTGGCTTGTTGGCGTCGTGTGTGGTGCGCCTGACACCTCTGCGCCGACACCTCTGCGCTCCGGCTGGGGCGCGCCATCTGGGGCGCGCCACCTGGGCTACCCGCCCAATGTGTTGTTCCGTTGTCTGTCTTCCCGTCGCCCCGCAGGTGGCCTTCACCAAGGAGGGGAAGCTGCAGGCCATCGACATGCAGCTGTACTGCAACGCGGGATACTCGTTGGACATCAGGTGGGGCCCGGGTGGGGTGTGGGGTGGGGTGGTTTGTGTGTGTGTGTGTGTGTAATGAGGAGCTACGAGTCGGACGCTACGCCGCTGACTTCCTGTGCCACCCCTCCTCGCTTCCCCGGCTGCTCCCTGCGTGCTGCCCACATGGCACCCGCACCAACCCACCGCGCTGCCCCCACCCCCCACCCCACCACCCCCCCGCAGCCACGGCGTGCTGGACCGCGCCCTCATGCACTGCGACAACGTGTACCGCGTGCCCCACCTGCGCACCCAGGGCTACCTGTGCATCACAAACATCGCCTCCAACACAGCCTTCCGGGGCTACGGCGGGCCGCAGGTGGGCCGCGGCCTGCCGCCTGCTGCCACCGCAGGGCTCTGGGGGCTGAGACGCAGCCTGGCGGAGCTGTGCTGTCGTTGCAGCAGCCATATCCCCCTCGGGGTGCTTTCCCTCGGCTTCCTCGGCGGCCAGCCGCCTGCCCCGCGCCTTGCACGCCTGGCTGCCCTACGCGCTGCTGCCTTTCCCTCGCCTGCCACCCACAACTGAGTAGGTTTTGTGTGTGTCTGACTCTGTTCGTGTCTTGATTGTTGTTGGGGGGGCCCTGCAGGGCATGGTTGTCATGGAGGACATCATCGACCGCGTGGCCTGCGCTGTGGGCAGGCCGGTGGAGGAGGTGAAGAAGCTGAACATGTACAAGGTGGGGTGTGGGGGCAGGTGGTGGGTGGGGGGGCAGGTGTTCGCCTGCAATGGCGGGGTGCTGGGTGGTGGCAGGTGTTCGCCTGCAGTGGTGTGATGGCGGGCATCAGCGGTGTGATGGTGGGTGGTGGCGGCAGTGGCAGGGTGAAGTGGCTGGTGGTGGATTGGGTTGAGTTGCGTTGGCGCCGCAGGCTCAGGCGCCGACCCGTTCCGTGCTGGCGCCTGCCCTCGGCTCACCCTGTTCGCGCCGGCGCCCGCCCCCGCGTGTTACCGCAGGAGGGCGAGGTGACGCACTTTGGGCAGAAGCTGGTGGGTTGCCAGGCGGAGGCGTGCTGGCAGGAGGTGTGGGACTCGAGCGAGTACTCGGCGCGGCGGGAGGCGGTGGCGCAGTACAATGCAGGTACGACGGGACGCCGGGCAGCGTACCGCGGAGCTGCGCCGGGGCTGTGTCGTTGCCGCCTTGTTCTGCCCCACGCTCGTAACCCCCTCCACCGCCACCATCGTCCACACACAACACACAGGAGCGCGCTGCCACCACCCCTGACACATAACAACAACCCCTGCCCGCCCCACCCGCCCTCCCGCCGCAGCCCACCGCTTCCGCAAGCGCGGCCTGGCCATCACCCCCACCAAGTTTGGCATCTCCTTCACCACCAAGTTTTTGAACCAGGCGGGGGCGCTGGTGCACGTGTACACAGGTGGGCCGGCGCTGACGTGGCGCTGACGTGGCACTCGCCGGTTTTGGTCCAGGGGCTGGTCTGCTTGCCGCTACCATCACCACCTGCACCTCTGCCACCGCCACCTCACGCACCCCTGCCACCGCCCCACGCCACGCTCGCCAGCCGGCCCGCCACCTCACCACGCACCCCCCCGCCCCGCGCCCGCCCGCAGACGGCACCGTGCTGGTGACGCACGGCGGCGTGGAGATGGGGCAGGGGCTGCACACCAAGGTGGCGCAGGTGGTGGCTCACGACCTCAAGATCTCGCTGCAGCAGGTGTACATCGCCGAGACCGCCACAGGTGGGCGTGTGTTAAGGGTTGTTGTAGCGTTTTGAGAGCTTTGTTGACCGATTGAAGATCTTTGTTTTAGGGTTGGTTCAGTGGGCGCGCTGCGGCTGGGTGTGTGGGTGCGGCCGGGGGGCAGCTTGGCCGTAGCAGGCGTGCGCGGTTGAGGGCCCAGAGGGGCAGGTCCTGCCTGGGGTAGTGGGCCGATGCCGTGGGCGCGCAGCGGACCTGCCTGGCGCCCCGCCCAAGCGTGCCCGCCCGGCTGCGCCACTGCGTTTCCTTTCCCGCCACCAACCGCCACCACCACCTCCACCACCAGTAGCCCCCACCCAACCACCTGCCCCGACTGATGGAAAAAAACACCTCCCGTCGCTGCAGACAAGGTGCCCAACGCCTCCCCCACCGCCGCCTCGGCCTCCTCGGACATGTACGGCGCCGCCGCGGCCGACGCGTGCCGCCAGCTCAACGAGCGCCTGGCGCCCTACTACGAAAAGATGGCGGGCAAGCCGTTCAAGGTTGGCCGGGGCGGGCCTCTCGGTTGCAGACAGATTTTTGTTGTCTTTGATATTGAGATCCATCTGGGTGGATGGAGCGAGGCAGGGTTGCCGCGCTGTGCCCAGCGTCCCCGCCCCAGCCCGGACAGCCTCCCTTCCGCCTCCCCTCCCTCCTCCTTTGTCCCCGACGCAATTGCTGCCTGCATCCTCACCCCACCCCCGCGCACTCCTCACCCCGCCCTTGCCCCTGCCCCCGCCCCTGCCCCTCTGCTTCGCCCCTGCCCCCCTCCCGCAGGAGGTGGTGCTGGCGGCCTACCTGGACCGGGTGGACCTGTGCGCCCACGGCTTCTACGCCACCCCCGACGTCACCGGCTTTGGCGGTGCCATGCCCTTCAACTACTTCACCTACGGTGCGCCGCGCTGCGCTGTGCTGTCTTGCGCCGCGCTTTCTTCCCTCCTGCCTTTTCCCTTCAGCTGCTT